AGTTCGGACACTTTTTAGCGCGGACCCGACGTCCATATAATTGTAAGTCAATGCTTGTAAAGGGTTTTTCAACAAGAACTTTCTTTTGTAAATCAAAATAAAACAATAAACTTAGATAACAATGAATCAAATTTTTATTGATTTAAAAAAAGTTTTGGCAACTTTCTCGTTGACACATAAGTGGCCAGCTCAATCATATGATTTAACACCGCTGGATTATTGTTTATGGGGTTATGTTAAAGACAGAGTCTATACGGAGCCAATCGAATTGTATGCAGCCTTAAAACTCAACATTCGTGAAGTGATTAACGAAATAGACCCACCATTTTGTCAAAAAGCGATTAAAAACTTTGATGAAAGAATCGACGTCTGTAACTGAGGTCGTGGTGGACATTTATCGGATATAATTTCTCATTCATAATTGCCAAACCTTACTTTTTTTATTACAATAAAAATTTTAATCATTCTCATCTAAATTTATTGTTTTATTTTGATTTACAAAACAAAGTTCTTGTTGAAAAACCCTATATATACAAATTTTACAGGCTGGTTTCACATCATATTTCCTTCTTATTCACTCACTGGCTTTTACCTATTCTTAAAGTGATGCATTGAAATGAACACCCTTGATAAAAAAAAAATTAAAATAAACAGAAAGTTTTGCCATCTCACGAATAACCACTCTTTATAAGATACGAGTTTGAGAAACTAAGGCATCGATATTGTAAATTTGTCGATAACGAGTAGAAATCATTGTCTTCATGTTTAAAGATACCATATAAAACTCGAATTCACAGAATTGTCTTTTATATAAAATAAATATTATAAATAAGTATATAACATTATTGTAATATAGAAAAAACACTTCTGTGGCTCTAGTGAACAGGGGTACAAGTCAAAAACGCCAACTTTACAAGGAGACGCGACAGTTAAAGTTAAATATGATATTAAGGGAGAACGTCACGATTTCATGTAATCTAATAGCCACTAGATGGCGTTGATAAGGTTTATTACTATTTTCGCAAAATTGGCAGCCAAAAGTTATACTTTTATTGTATACGCGATTGGATTAATTCATGATACATTTTAAAATTCATATGACTTTTCACATACAATCTTTCATAAAAATATATATTTTCCGCTCGAAACTTAGTTACACACGTACAAAGGTATGATCTAGTGCCGTCTGTCCAAACTGAATTTTTTGTTTTACTTTTATTTATGTTAGTGGTTAGGATTTTTCTGTATTATTATTTGATCGTGTTTGTTGTTTTTCGAGTTTCCTTGCAAAGTTGGATTTTTTACTAGAGCCACAGACTTAATTATTGCTTTTCAGTTTTAGAATGTTTTCATTAAAGGCATAATTACGTGTTTTCGTTGACAACGGCTTAAAATTTATTTATAAGTAAATTATTATTATTAAACATAGTAAACATAGCTTCGATTACTTTAGTTCGTTTCTACTTAAAAGGGGTCACACAGGTGTAAAAGGCGGTTCTGGCTTCTCCATAACAGTTGTATAGTTTTAGACAGTCGTGTCGCCACTCAGAGTCAAAGAGGGACACTGCCTAATTTCACCAGCACGTTACAGCTTGGCGGTAGAAATAGGTAAGATGGCAGCACTTCCCTGGACGGACTCTTTTTACAAGGACCTCTTCTGCTACTACATGGGTTGTTTTATCTGCTGATTTTTTGAGGAGCTCCGCTTCAGGGGGTCTATTCTCGTCTCCAATGACAACAAAATTAAAAAACAGATGATGCGAATGAAGCTTCTTACTTGACATTCTCAGTAATTGTTTCGGATGAAGAATGACAGTAGACCCCCAAGTGTAAGTTTCTAACTTGAAAATTCCAAGTAATCTTCAACAAAAGTATAGATCAAAAAAATATAATTACAAACGTACAATAACTGTAAATATATAATAAGAAAACATAAAGGCTATCAATTTAAAATTTGAACCGTTATTTGCGCCAAATTTTGAATGATTTTTAGGTCCAAATCTTAACACGTTAACCTCGGGGTGTACCGCTGGTAGTCACGCTGGAAAGAAAGTAAAACTTGAAAGTACTATAGTTAATTTTCCCACTCTGTACAATGTGTTAGGAAGCTAAAGTATTTATTTGCAAAAAGAACTAACTTATTTAATATTTGACGAACCCTGTGGCCCAACACTGGGAAATGAATTCTTCTGAATTGGTACGTGGTACAGGTGTCATTGTTTTAAAAAAAATGTACAATATACTTTCAATCTTTTTGCCAAAAGTTTGGTCGGCAATAGTGAAACTATCCTTTATATTCTTTAATGTCAATTTCTAAATACAACCTGTGTTTTCACAAGTAAATGAATGATGAAAGAATGTTGATCTAAAAATCCTGGGGCCATTAACGCACGGTTCAATTTAGCTTGCGAGCCTTTATGTTATTTAGTTCTAATATTCTCGTAGTGTGTATTTTAATAAGCACAAAATTATATTATTTTATATAAAACCTACTTAATCATGTCATATAAAATTTTAAAAAAATGTTTAAAATTATATTTGGATTTTTTTACCAATTACCTTTATCACACCCCGGACACTCCATACAACAGTAGAAAGTTACTTACCTTCTACTACTTCGTATTTCGTCACCTTAAATACTTAAGATTTCTCATAGATGGCGCTACAGCTAAAAAGTCGTTGAAAAACCATAGACAAAGACGTGACAACAAACACAGAAAAATTCGTGACGTCCGCTGGTTCGTTCCGTGGCTTAGTTGGTATAGCGTCTGGCAATTTAGCTAGAAGACGTCGGTTCGAATCCAGATCGAAGTAATTTTTTCTGAGTGGTCGATCTTTGTATTAATTATAACTAGTGGAGTAATTTCACGAAAAAATGATTCAATATAAATTCAATAAAAAATTAAATACAATGAATAGCGACGTCTCTAGCCAGGGCTGGTAAATGTAAAGGTTTCTAACTGGGTGACGAAATACTTAAGATTTCTCATAGATGGCGCTACGGCTAAGTCGTTGAAAAATACAAAGACGACAACAAACACATAAAAAAATGAGTGCGGTCCGCTGGTTCGTTCCGTGGCTTAGTTGGAATAGCATCTGACACGGTTTGCTAGAAGACGAAAATCCTCAAGTAATTAAATAGATTCAGGCGTTACTTTGCGGAAGTCCGTGTTAATAAAAATGGAAGTAAATCAATTTGCTACTCCGCGAACCCAGTGAAGGTTAAATCGTGCAAAATAGCTGCGCTTGTGTCGAATATTTCTCATGCAGTTAATTATCCTACCCTCCCTCCGCATAAAATTAATAAAATAAATAAGCGCAACTATAGTCACAAACCATCACCAATAATATACCCGACACCTTAGAATAATAACGCATAGAATGATAGTTTCATAGTAGACGAACTATCACAAGTGAGGCAAAAATCAAATTCATGTAGGCTAGTTTTAGTAGCAGGTTAATTTTCGGTTTTAGTGAATATTTATATAAAAATACAAGTTGAAACGCGTTACTTCCTTGTGGAATGTGATGTTACTATCTATTTTATGTTTGTCTGACGTATTTTTACACTCATTTACCGCACATTTCGTCATTTTTAGCTAAAATTCTTGATCTGTTCGCGGTGCAAGTTGACTTTTGGCGCGCTTCAATTTGCCTCACTTAGCGTGTGCGGACTAGGTTTCTATGCGTTATTATTCTAAGCCCGACACGTGTTTCGCCTCTCCACGAGGCATCCTCAGGGGCTGTTGACTGTCTGTTGAAAATCCTCAAATCTTATAGACATCGTCTTCATCGGTTTCTCCATCAATTGTGGACTGATTTTGAAAATCCATTTTTTGTTTGAAAGGGTTTACTCGAGGTGGTACTTGATGCCGACGAAATTGCTCCGGGTATCATCAAATTACTTGATCTTTTCCGCAAATATCAAGTCGACTTTTCACTTGATACAATATATGTAATCAACAAATCACCGTCACTATGACCACCAAAAAAGAACGTATAAAATGTACAAAGGAGTCCGTAACAGTCCCATTGTCACCAAGAAGTCAGAATCTGATGAGAGGATCCCACGAAATCGAAAAAAGCCGATAAGCAATATATATATTAACACAAACTGTCACAAGGTAAAAATATAGGTTTAGGATAAATAAAAACTACTGAAACCAAAAAATAGAATTATTTATTTATTACACAAACTTACAAAATTACACAAATACGGTAGGGACACACCTTAACATGTAAATTGTACAGTCAAAAAGCACACAAAGCTTGTTACTTTGGGCGGTACTTAGAATAAGACCAATTTCCCAGTACAGCTTCAAAAGAGCACGTGTCGATTCATCGATTCAAAACTGTTATGAAAGCTTCTTTAAACAGTTGTAATGGCACTAGTGTACAGCTTTTCGTCAATATTCGTATTGTAACCAAAAAGGTTGTACGGTAAGACAGGTTTGCGGGCGGCAGCACGGTAAAAGTGGCCTTCGAGGCTGTTTATGGGTGGTCATACTGATATGACCAATAAGAATTGTTTGCATTGGCGGTTATATTTTGTCAGCAGTAAAATTTTCTTAACTAATGTAGATAAGAAGCGTATACCTTTAATTCATGAAAGTAACAAATAGGTAGCAATTATTGGTAATACATACTTTTGGAAAATCTACTCCCTTCTTGCTGAACAAAGTGGTGATCAGCCATCCTGATATCAGAATGGCTGGTCAATTATTTTTTTAAATTTCTCGGAATATATCAAAGGTAGCAATTATTTAGAAAAAGTAGCAAATACGTAGCAATTCTTGAATATACACTAAGGGTCGTATTCTAGAACTCTACTCAATGCTCAAGTCAGGATTTGAGTATGGTTTAAAGCACTCGAAATCATACTCAAGTCCCTGCCATTAGGGTCGTATTTCCAGTGCTTGTGTTTCCAGTGCAATCCTGACTTGAGCAATGAGTAGAGTTCTAGAATACGACACACAGTGTCAGATTCCACAGGCGACCAGCCATCCTGGCGGTCACCATTTATTTTAAGTCTTTTATGTATCGTTGTAGTGTTGAAGAATAGTCTTTATATATGACTTTGATTGATCGAAAAATAGGTGTGGGCAATCGATATGGAAAAAAAGCAACAAGACGAAGCTACGGCTATTCGAACGCGAATTCACCTCTCGACTGGAGAGCGACTCTAGTGCCCGTGCCGCCGCTGTCGAGAACAACACTTGCAAACTTAGCCATTTTGATCAAGTCAAGCTGAGTTCTGGTTCATAACCTTATGGTCTCCACAAGTTCCACAACGTGGTAAGGAAGCTTTTAGATAATATCTTTAACGTAAAATGTTCAACATTCCAGGTTCCAAAAAAACTTGAAACTTTACCTTAAATTCTTAAAACCTAGGTTATTTACCCAATTTGCCTGGGCTAGTCGCCCTTTTTAAACTTCTTTTGTCTTTCAGAGACCCAGTTTCGACCTTCGATCTAGCTCTTGTTGATTTAGGAACCACAAGATTTTTTAAGGACGTCGAGTTTTCTTTATCTGTAGCTTCTAGATTTGATGTTTTTGGTTTTAGTTTTTTATTTTTGGTCTCGGTTATTGATTTCGATGCAGAAATTTCGGCTTCGAAGTTGTGTGCGTCAAGAACTTCAAGGGACTTTGCTTTTTCTATCGTTTTGAGGGTAGATTTTCCAGGTTTCGAGTTTTGTGTTTTAGCTATCAATTTGTCCGCAACAAGAGTTGAAAATTCGTTATCAAAATTTTTATTTTTCGTTCGGGTTTCTAGGTTATTAGCTTCATTTTCTAAACGTTTTAGATTTTTTGTTTCAGTCACTTTGTCAGCGATAGGAGTTGAGAATTCAGCCTCTAAATTCTTCACAATATTTTGTCTTAAAGATTTCTTAGTATAGGTTTTTATAGATGACATCGGAGTGAAGAACTGCTCACCTGGTGTCCCCGTAGGTGTGAAAAATTCACTTTTTTGATCACTTTCTCCGAATGATGGCGTTCCAAATTCTGGAGCTGGAGTAACCTGTATACTAGGTTTGGATCGAGTATTCCTGGGCGTTATCTCAGTTGATTTACTGGAGATTGGAGCAGGTATTTTAAAATACGAGTCAATTTCCAAAAGACTTGAAGTATCGTTCACTTTTAGGGTCGCGTGATCAAAAATTGAGGAATTACAAATTGGTTTCGATCGCGTATTCCTCGGTGTTACGGATTCCAAAACAGGTTTACTACTTTTAGGGGCTGGTATTTTGAACTGTGCTTTTTTGTTAACAGGTTTTGTAGCATTCGGTTTGTTATCTTCGACGTTGTCATCGTCTAAATGGAATTGGATAACTCGGCGTCTTGTTTTTGGTACTTCTTCGTCTTTGACTATGTTTTTAATTATCTTTGGCGGCTGTGCAGCTTTGACTTCTGGTGTTTTAGGTGGTAGGGTAATTTCTTCATTGGGCGACAAATGCAAATTCTCAAATTCTTGTTCAAGATCGACCTCTTTAGGTTTCTGGCAGGTATCTTTCAATAATTTGCTGGTTAACAACAAGTTTCGGACTTCACTTTGTATATAACAATCAATTGGACCAAGCTCTTGTAGAATTTCATGTATTCGAACAATATTTTCGTCAGCTTTAAGAAAATTGTTTAATGATAATTCGAAAAACGAATTTTCAATCAAAACCTCTAGAACAACATTTTTGAACTCATCGTTAATTTGTTTTATAAAATTTTGAACTAAATAAGGTTCAAACTGTTTGTTAAATCTGTGGTTAATACTTTTCAATTTTTGCTCAACAAGTGGCAAACATTTTAAACAACCCGAGTAATAATTCTTAGCAATATCAACTTCTTTTGCTCTGAAATAGACTCCAGCCTCGTAACCCATGGCAAGGCATATCAAAATGTGACAAAATGGGTTGTCACACTGAAAACAGGTGCACGTGTTCTTGTGTAACAAAAATTCGGGTGTTTTAAATCCTATTACAGGAAACTTTGTGGGGCTTATTGGCTTTTTTATTTGGTTCTCAAGCATCAGTTCGAAGTCTTGTTTTGGAGTGAATATTGGATCTGTTTTTGGGTCTGTAGTGACGCATGGCTGGTGTATTGTGGCTGGAACGCCTATTATGCTTTTGATGCGGAGGTCGATTTTTTTCTGTAAGAGAAGATTTAATTTTAGTTAATAAAATGTTATAAAAATAGTTGATAAAAATGAGTTGGCCAATCATATTACCCTGATTTAAGTAAAAATGTTACTAACAATTCTAGGGTCGGCGGATTACAGCACATAAGTCAAAAAAGTGCTTCATTCGATAATACATACATATACACGCCTTTTTCCCATCGGTGATGGCAGAGACAATAGTCTTCCACTTGCTACGGTCCTGACACACATCCTTCGCCTCATCAACACGCATCAATGCTTTCATACACGCTCGTCGGTTAAGGGTACTCTTGATCTGGCCCTTCTTTAGGATGGCCTCAATTTGGTCATGATACGGTCGGCCCATACCAACTTGCCCGCTCACACTCGCCTTATAAATCTGTTTCGTCACTCTTCTTTCATTCATTCTCTCTACATGTCCGAACCATCTAAGCATCCCTTTGTCTATCTTTGTCACTATATCTTCTTCCACGCCGCAACGCTCTCTTATCACACTGTTCCGTAATTTATCCATCCGAGTCACTCCAGCCATACTCCTCAAAGCTCTCATTTCTACTGCATTAATTCTACTTTCATGCTTCTTCTGCCAAACTCAACATTCACTACCATACATAAGTGTAGGAACCAGCACCCCCCATGCACAACCAATCGTGCCTTTTTAGACACTTTCTGGCTGCCCATGAAGGTATGCAAGGCACCATTCACCTGATTCCCTGCGTTCACTCTTCTTTCAATGTCTCTTTAACATTTTCCATCACACGTAAACGTCGATAATATAGAATTATATACTTTTTGTGTTGTTTATAGTGTTGGACGATGTGAAGAGAATGATAAATTTGAAAAAGACGCCTCTAGAATAAAGTTAGAGATTTATGAAGCAACAAATGAATTGGACTTATGGGCTTTAGCCGGTAGATGTACTAATTGAAATGAATGATGTTAGAATATAAATAAAAATGGGAATGACAAGTGCCAGGTGGACCTTGGCGTCGTCGGCCTTGTGCACGTCGGTGACGGTCGCGAACAAGCGCGCCTGCGCAGCGGCCGCGGCCGCGGGCAGCGCCACGCCGGCGCAGCTGCGCGCGCGCCTCAGCAGCAGCAGGCGCCGCGCGCGCGCCGCCGCCGCCGCGCCCGCCGCGGCGATGTGCAGCTTCAGGGCCGCGGAGGTCAGGCGCCGCGCTGTCCACTTCGTTGCTGCAACGATCATTCATTAGTCAACTTGGTGCGGAGGGTCCACCAGAACCTTTCAAAAAACAATCTTACTTCAATGTAAGCTTATTATAACATTACTTATATTCGTACCGTGACAAACCTGTCAACCGAGTAATGTATTATTGCTAAGCTGACTGCAAGAACGAATGGTTTCCCAATATTGTCTATTCCTTACTAAAAATAGGATAGAAATAACGCATATGAACCATTGACTTACAATTATATGGACGTCGGGTCCGCGCTAAAAACTGTCCGAACTTATAGGGCGTTAAAATCGTATACAGAGCGTCATTCACGCTTTAGTCTTCGTTTGTTCGACTGACAGCGAAGCAAGCAAAATTAGACAGCACTGCGATGACATTACAATTTAAATTCAACGTTTTAGCGTTTTCATATTCCTTTACATGTCACTACGTTTAAATAGGATGACTTGGGACATTTTTTTCGTGGTTTTTGTATTAGACCCGTCGTCCATTTATTTGTAAGTCAATGATATGAACTGTATAATACCATCTCTTTCTTTTTTGATGTTCCGAATCGTCCTATCGTACTATAATGTAGTACTTAATATTATTTACATTCACAGAAATTTGACCGCCAAAAAAAAGTATGTAATAATGGAATCTATTAAAATTACGTTGTTTTCAATTATTCCACATTTTCATGAAGATAAATAAATAAAACAAGCTGAGTCTTGATTGTCACGTTGTCAATTCGGAATTATAGTCTACTGTGAACTGTTAGTGTCGCCAAGCAGCATATAGATGTCGCTGTCATAATTATATGAAATAAACATCGCGTATTTTTATTATTTCCTATGTACGAAAGAGAAATTATTTCCTATGTAGTATTAAATAAAAAAAATAAACAAAACATTGAAGAGATATATGTAAATAAATAAGTTCAACTTAACCTTTTAATCATCACAAATCAATATTTATACAATAAATTCGAAAATAACATTGTTTCAAGAACATCATCGCTCATAGTACGGACTGAGTGAATGAATAGTCACAAAGCTGCCAATAAAACATCATAGTTTTAAGATTATAATAAGCTTACTTTAAGCGCATCAACGAGATTAAGGTAATATTGTTTTAAGAGGTTGTGATAGGCCCCCTAAACCTCGCGAGCAATATTGCCAGATCCAATTATTTTTAAAATCCATAGGGGAACACTGAAATATTCGTAAATTGCCTTTAGAGAAATGCGTAAGTCTACAGGTATATTATTAATCGATTTAAAAAAAGAGATTCCACATTCGACTGTATATTTTTTTATGTATGTTACGCGATAACTCCAACATTTGTAAACCGATTTTGATGATTCTTTTTGTGTTGGGAAGAGGGTACCTCAGTATTGGTCCCATTTAAATTTGAAGAAAATATTCCACCTCTAAGGGTGGCAAACTAGGCGATGTATCTGCCTTCGCGAATTATCCGGTAACCGATTGTCAATTTTTTAGTTTCAGTTTGTATGCACATATAAACAAAGTTTGAAGTCGGTTCCTTTTTTTTTAATAAAAATTACTTTACTATCCGTTTATTGTAATATTTTTTATTACAAAAAAACAATAGTAAACCTTGTACCGCTGCAATATGGTCGACTTTTTTTGGAGAACTTTATTAGGCGTTAATCGTTCGTCGTCTTTCAGCTATTGCCGCTAGATGGCAGCACATTGAATAAAAACTTCATAGCTTGCAATAGTATCGAATCTTCAACGATATATACCATCAGGGTAAAGTTTATATTAACAGCCCATTTCATTTCAGATCCGGGTCATCCGATCCGGATCGTCAAGTCCGTCTCGGTTCGGCAGCTATCGGGAAGCTCCGGAACGTCTTCTCGTCAGCAATACCGTAGTCCTTGAGGACAAAAGTGTTGCCAGCGATCCTTCGGCTCTGAGACGTGGTCACTTTCTATGGGCCTCATAAAAAAGCTCAAGGTCACTCAACGAGCCATGGAGCGAGCATTACTCGGTATTTCTCTACGTGATCCAATCAGAAATGGACGGATGTCCTGGTAAGGGCGGCGGGTAACCGATGGATGCACGTTTGAACTAAATAGAACATGCACACTGTACGTAAAAAAATAAATTCTGAAATAAAGCCAGTGTCCCTGCTGCTCGATCTAAGCCATCGAGTATATAACCAGAAATAGAAACGAAATAAGGGCCATATATTCCTGGTATCACACTAGCGATACAGCTCTTATAAATATCAACTCTCGTTTGCACTGAAATATAGACAGGCCAACTACTGACGTACACACGTACGTCTCCGTATATTCCAAAAAATATTCTGTATTTATTTTAATAAAGATAATATCTCTGACAATGCCGTGCTGTTCTATTCGGTGGTGTGGGAAAAACAGCAAAACATCTAATTACAAAACGAACGGAATCACATTTCATCGGTAATTAAATATGTAATTTTACAACTTTCGTCCATTATAGCAAAGCTCAAGTTAACTGGTCGATTTGAAGTGAAACAATTGACGACACCCGTCAATTGTTTCGAACTCGGCCTGGCCAATCGGAGCGCAGTTGTCACAGTAATGATATGGCAGAATAGTTTTCAAACAAATTAAATGACATTTAGTCTCTATTTCTGGTTATATGTATACTCGATGACCTAAGCAGAATGAACCATAGGGAAAAATTATAATTCGAGCAGAGGTAGTATGGACACTACACTAGAGTTGCAACGAGTATTCGGTTACTATTCGGTATCCGGCCGAATACCTAAGAACAGGAGGAAGAAATAAGAAAATACAGTAAATTATCACAAATAGCAACTTCCATGAGATCAAAAAAATTATAACAAATCAAATGAACACTTATTATGTAATTTTGTCATAAAATCATGATTAAATAACCGCTCACAAAATCAACCTAGATATATAGATATATAACACGTTTATTCAGCACAAACACAAACAGAAACAAAACATTTACAATCACTTCACAGAGTATAACATAAAAGCACATAGAACATTCATTATTAATTTTATACACACTTATATAAAACCCATACTGCGAGAAAAACAAATATTGTAAAAAACAAACAAATACTATAAGAACTGATAAAATTTTAATGTACCTAGTACTTATTATTTGAAAATGAAAGTAAAATTAAGTTTTTGAAAGTTAATGAAACTGAAATTTATATGTACATATATGTATAGCTATCTTTGTTGTAATACGATTTGTGCGCCAATTTTCATAAGTTCATTAATCAGGCCGAATATTCGGCTATTCGGCCTCGCTCCGGGCCGAATAATCGGTATTCGACCTAAAGGCGAAATACTATCCGTTGCAACTCTGCTCTAGACACTTCCATGGGAACTGCCTACCTGTATTGGCAACAGTCAGGTAATGCCTCTGCGTGTTGACGACTGCGCTGAGGCCGCTGTTCGCCTTGCAGAGGAGGGCTTGGGCTTCCATGAGACGACCGATCGCGAGGTCCACTGAAACACAAAACATACAGTTGTAATTTATGGGTGTTACCCCCATCAATTAGACGACAGGTCGCTTACTATTTCATTACCAGTATCAATGGGGTGTAAAGGAATCTTCTTTAAATGGAACCTTTCGATCGGCATCATAAAAATACAGAATGTAATAATTGGACGTAGTTAGGGAAAAAGGATCTAATCCACAAAATTATCAAAAAATTAGTTATATGTACCAAACGCTTCCTCAAGTCTAACCTCTTAGATCAGGAAAAAAAAATCCAACATAGAAACATAACTTAACTGCCTCTGTGGCCGAACGGTTACCATGCCGGACTGCCACGCAGAGGTCCCAGGTTCAATTCCCGGGCCGGGAGAAATATTTGTATGACCTACATTTGTTTCTCTCGTGAGTTTGGGTGTAATTTGTGGTTGTCTATATGTGTGTCCATGGCACCCGCGACACAGGGTTTCCCTAGTGCGGGGCTACTATATTGAGTGTGTGTGTTATTATTATTATTATTATTATTATTATTATTATTATAAATAAATATCTCTGCAGTTGTGACATTATAAATTTGAAAATAAAACAAGAGTGAGAAACAATTAAACTTCAAACTGCCATATTTCGAAAGTGACTAGATGTGTATTGGATCCTTTTTGTTCAACTACGTCCAATTATTAATACATTTTTTTTTCGATCGGGCTGGATTGAACCGACGTCTACTAGCAAATCTATTAAATTTTTTCTTTACTCAGCTAGGTACCTTCACAGCTACCAGCAGCTGACGTTTTGTTGCTTTTTTGAACCTTCTTCGAGGTGCAAGTTTTCCTCATGGTGTTTTTTTCAATGAAAAACTCATGGTAAATTCAATTTGACACAAATTCGGAGACACTCAGAGGTGCGAGAGCACAGCCTGGATTTGAACCCACGGCCTCTGATTGAGAGTCGGTAGGTTAACCATTATAGTCTGTCTTTTTTGAAGACGGAGTAAAATAACGTTTGCAGGATTGCTAGTTTACATTAACATTTTTAATAAGTTTTTTTTTTAATATCAAGTGACGGGACGAACAAGTCGTGCACCTGATGGTAAGCTACACGCCTGTCCATAACAGTTGCAGTGTCGCTCAGAGGTTTAAATCGCAAGATCTGAGGGGCACTCGTCACTCTAAGACATAAGCTGACAAGTCCCATGTGCCTGTAATTTCACCAGCACCCTTACCCTTCGAAACTTCATGTAGTTGTTGTCGATGGTTTTATCGATAGATTGTGATAAAAGGTCAAAATGTTGCCAAAAACAAGAACAGGCGGATTTGATTAGCTGATTTTTTTTTTTAATAATAAATTCTTTATTTCTTTAAATAGCTAATTAAAATGGTAAAAAGTATAGCAAAAAGTACAATATACACAGAGTATTTTGACTGCTGGTACTTAAAAAAGAAAACTTGATAATATAACCAGATGATCGATTATATAACCAGAAATACAGACGAAATAAGAGCCTTCCACACCTGGCATCTCATCAGGCAAATGGGCCTTATATTACTTTTAAATATCAACTCTCGTTTGCGCTGAAATCACAAATTAGAAAGCTGAAATAGTACAGCGCCAACAACTGGCCTGTGTGTACGTCTCCGTATATTCCAAAAATATTCCGTATTTATTGCAATAAAGATAATATCTCTCGGTGATGGTCCATTCGGTGGTGTGGGAAAAACAGCAAATCATCTAATTACAAAACAAACGGAATCACATTTCATCGGTAATTAAATATTAAATATGTAATTTTTCAATTCTTGTCCATTATAGCAAAGCTCAAGATAAACTGGTCTAATGAAGAGAAATAATTGACGAAGAAAAGGAATTGGCCAATCGGAGCGCAATTGTAACCGTAATGATATGGCAGAATAGTTTTGAAACAAATTAAATCACATTTCGTCTCTATTTCTGGTTATACAGAGCATATCACAAAGCAAACTATCCTATCTCCTTCCTCCTCCTCCAGAAACCCTGTACCCTTAACGAAATCGGCTTTTGCCTAGAAATTAAGCTATATTCTCCATCGTTTTGTTTACAATAAAATAAGTATCGAATTTCCCTTAAAAAATTACTCAATCCGAGAACTAAACTCAAAAGTGAAAAATTGGCTCAAATCACTGTGCTATGACGATGTTGAACAAATTCTGAAAGTAGACAGACAAAACACACACACAAACACGCGCACGTTCACTCACAAGTAATTTAAATGCTTTGTAAGTAACATTATTTAATTTCCTATGTTTAATAAGTAATTGTAACTAGATTTTAGGAATTTTCTCGTCTCTATTAACTTTTCGCATATAATATCGTCTGTTCAAAGGTAAAACCACATAAGTGACATTTTCCACAAAAGGTCTTCAATTTATATAGCTATGGTAAGAAAATCACTATATTTCTGCACGTGAAACTCGATAACGAAAAAGCTATAAACGTAAAAAGTATTTTATCTGCAGAAAGATGGTGACTTTCTTACAACTGGTACATAATTTGGGCATTTTTTGTGGAAAATGTCACTTTTATGGTTTTACCTTTAAGCAGACGATATATATTGCACATCCTTCCTAGAATTGGTTACCTACGAGACAGGCTTTGCCTAGTGTAGGAGCCATTGTAACCGGTTTAAAAAAAGTTGAAAGTATACGTCTTAAACATACGTATTCCATAATGTGTATAATATAATATATTCTCACGTCTATGCCTGTTATCTGTAATTGAACTGTATTTGTTTTTATGTACATATAAATTACTAACTAACTATCTACAATATTTAAAGCTACCTGTATACTCACAATTAACATCGGGGTGGTGTTTAACGGTGTACAACAAGTGAGCTTGTGCCAATTGCACGAGTTTAGCTGCTTCGGCTGTCATATTCCTACGAGCGTGGTGAATCTGGGAAGAGAAGAAGTTATATGAAAGAAGTTTTGACGATTTCGACGGTTTGCACCGTGGGCTTTGGATGACAAGGTCTGGGAAGTGAGCTTTTCTATTATTTTTTTTAAGTATCAGGTAATTGGATGATTATGTCGTACCCACAGAACAATAAATACAGTAGTGTATAGTTTGCATGGTACGTGTGCCAACAGTTCGCGGAGTTCAGCAAACTTGAGCTCAGCCCGCCATTATCGCTTTGTACGTTATGGTCGTGTTAATTATCTCGCGCAAAATCTCGTAAATCGTAGAAAAATAGGGTTATTTCGCTACTTTGGAGTGCAAAAATGATAGTCTCACTTGTGGTGTTTCGTATCATCATAAGGCTTATTTTGTTTAATTTTAATAAATTTTCTATTTTTCACATTTTTATTGAATTGATATTCAATTATTTTTACGTGAAATTACTCCACTAATTTGTTACAATTATTAATACAAAGATCGACACTCAGAAAAAATCCTTCGATCCGGCCGGATTTAAACCGACGTCTTCTAGCATACCGTGCCAGACGCTATACTAGCTAAACCAAGGAACGAACCAGCGGAGCTCACGAATTTTTCTATGTGCTTGCGTCGTATCTTCCTATTCGGGTTTCAACGACTTTTTAGCCGTAGCGCCATCTATGAGAAATCCATATATTTCATCACCCAGTTAGATACCTTTACAGCTACCAGTCCCGGCTAGTGTCGCTATTCATTGTATTAATTTTTTTATTGAATTGATATTCAATTATGTTTGTTTTTTTGTTTACTCCACTAGTTTGTTATTAATACAAAGATCCAACACTCAGAAAAAATTCCTTCGATCTGCCGATTTCCATTTTCAGTTAATGGTAATCATTTTTTTTGTTACAAAATACAAAAGTATGGTCGCTTATTATTTGGAGAACTAAGTAAACATTTCGAATTCATCATCGTTCAGAAACTAACCGCTAGAAATTGAAAATGAAATTTCAATATAAAATGAGAACGTCGTCACTTGCAATAATAGGTACATATATGCCAACAAGGTTAAGTTAAACTTATATACTTAAATTATCTTAAGTTTTTAAACTCGTGACGACAGTTATGTGTTAGCGGTGGGCGGAGTGAAAGGTAGGATAGTGTTGCCAGAATGTAAAATGAATGCGTTGAGAGGCGTTTTGTGTGCGATGAGAAAAATAATTAAAAGTTAATATTATTACGTAATAAATAAATATAGAGGGAACTGAATTTTATATCATAATTGACATTGTATCATTGCAGATATTGTAATGATTTTGTCAAAACGCTAGAACTCATTTTTATACAAAACCACATTGACAATCGATTTTCTTCTTATTATCGAATTTTAAACAATATTCCTTATTTAAATGTTAAAACTCACTAAAAAGTATCAATAGCGATACAAAAAAGTTAATATAATTAACCCTAATTGCAGCAATACTCTTAAACGTGCTTGATCCCTAGACACTTTTGATGTGTGTAATATTGTACGTGCTTTGTATCGACTGCTATGCAAAGTCGAAGTCACATAATCATTTATTCAATAGGTAAAATTTTAGTCTTGAAAACGTTACTTTCTAAGCTACAGCTCGTTCAATACGCTGGCTTCCCTGAGAAGAAACTCTGGGAATTGCTCTTTTCAAATAAACTTAAATGCTATAGAATACAATTTGAATCATATTTGTATGAAATCTAGACTCACGTTGTCTTTCCATACATCTTTATCTAACACGTAGTCCACAAGTAGTCGGTGTAATGAAAGTTCGAAAAAACGTTATTTCGGTAAAAAAAATTCGAGTTTGTGATAGGTTACCGATTAGTCCATGAAGACAATATTTCTGCCATCAACTTCTGAATTTCTCGGAGATACTTAAATCTTTTACAGTGAATACCATGCTTTTCCATAAGGACAGCCCTATTGTTTTCTGCTTTCCTTTTAAGGTAGGTTTTCTTTAATATAAAAGTTATATTTACTGATACTTACAGCCAAATCACAAATGTAACAGAGTACAATATCCATTGACTCCACTCGGCCTATCACATCTGACAGACATGTCTGCGCGTGGCGTTGCAAGTCGCAACAAGTCTTGGAGCATGACGCAGCTTGTCCTTCCGTGTTGCAACTTGTCGCAGTGTGGTAAAGTATTGTGCTTGCGTTACGGATGTAAATTTCCCTGAAAGAAAGAAAAAATATATACAAATGTGCGTAAGCGATGATTCCCAAACAGAGATGGGCAGTGATACATAGATAGACAAACACTTTGTTCACTGATATAATACAAATACAAGTAACATTGACTTACAATTATATGGACGTAGGGTCCGCGCTAAAAAATGTCCGAACTTATAGGGCGTTATAATCGTATACAGAGCGTCATTCACGCTTTAGTCTTCGTTTGTTCGACTGACAGCGAAGCAAGCAAAATTAGACAGTACTGCGATGACATTACAATGTAAATTCAACGTTTTAGTCATAGATACACTATATATTCGAGGTTTTAGTTTTTCATATTCCTTTACATGTCACTACGTTTAAATAGGTTGACTTGGGACATTTTTTTCGTGGTTTTTGTATTAGACCCGTCGTCCATTTATTTGTAAGTCAATGACAAGTAAGCATAAAATAATAATCTCAGTACAGAGTGCTAAAAAAACCGACCTCAAAAGTACGTGGAATTACGTCTATTTGCCAAGTTTTATTGAAATATCCTTAAATTCGCCATTACACAGGACTTGACACTGGAGATAATAAAAATGGGTTCTCACTTCTCAAAGAATATCGAGAAAAAAACGCCTTGAATTGGAGAAATAGAAAATCTACCATTAAAATAATTGCTCCTTAAAAAAATTTAGGCGCTATTTATAAAAATAAATCCTCATGCGTGAACAGTCACCCTTAGAGTTGGATGATTTCCTTCAAAATGAAATGGGACCACTATGGAAGTACCCCCTTTCCAACAAAAAAGAATCATGAAAATCGGTTCACAAATACCGGAGTTATTGCGTAACATACATACAAAAAAAAACAAAAAAAACATACAGTCGAATTGAAAACCTCCTCCTTTTTTGAAGTCGGTTAAGAAAAAAATAACATGATTCTCATAGCAGTGAAAGGGCGCTGACTCAGCATATGCCAAAGTTTCCTAAAGGCGCTGGTTTTCAGTCAAGACCAACGAGAGGACTTAAGTTATTTGTAAGCAAAAATATCGCGCTCCCCAGCGAATAATATGGTAACCGATAATTCTAAATTTTACAGAAAAAATAGAAAACTATTTTTTGTGTATATCTCAACTCGGGTGCATCGTAGGATAGTTATTTCTATGTCAAAACAAAGCTAATTATTTGACAGTTAATTTTCTTTTATATTTTTGTATTAGTTTTACTAAATAAAGTTATTTATGAAAATAATATTACTAAAATTGCAGGCCAAAAGTATAGTATGCAACGCATCATTACCATATTATTCGCGTGTAAACCCAACGATTTCGTAGTCAGTATTAATGTATTACCGTATTATTCATTGAAATATGGTGACAAAAAAGGTAACGATAATATGATATTACGACTTTATTCGGATGAAATCCAAGCGACAGTGTATACAGTAATAGTACATTACAGTAATATTCGTTGATGTATGGTTTCAAAAAATGAATAGTAATGTAATTATGCAAATACATTCTATATAAAAATAACACACGAATGTCATTGTTTTAAAGTGTTTCTTACGCGAATTTAAAGGTTATCGTCACTTACGGAAGAAGTTCACGATTGCATAATCTGTACTAACTTAATTAAATTTTTATTGAATTGATATTCAATTATATTTTGTGAAATTACCCCACTAGTTTCTTATAATTATTAATACAAAGATCGAACACTCAGAAAAAATTCCTTCGCTCCGGTCGGATTCGAACCGACGTCTTCTTGCATACCGTGCCAGACGCTATACCAACTAAGCCACGGAACGAACCAACGGACTTCACGAATTTTTCTATGTAAGCTTCCATCAGTTATGACGTAAATAAATATACATTCACGGAAATAACCCAGTTTTATATTTAAGAAGTGCCTCTCGCAAACCCAAGCTACGCGCCCCGTTATAGTACCTACCTACCTACACTTGACATTGTTACTTTATTTAAATTATTTATTAGTTTCATTAATTATGTTGATTTGTATACGTGCACTATAGTGTACTGTGGCCTTAGTTATTATACATATAATTATTTCTTAATTATTTTGTAAACTGAGGATCACTTTTCGAAGAATAGTATAACGACTGTGCACTGGCAACCGGTACTATCTCAATTTTCTAAAGATTTCTTAGATTATACTATTTCATACTCCGCAGTGTTGCAAGAAATTCCATCTCAAATACATTTAATTTTGGCGCCAGAGTCGATTTCATTCAACTTGTACTAACTTCTAACCAGATGCTATATAAATGATGCAAACTTCTTTTCTTCGTCCTGTAAAATTGTCAAAATTAAGATAGTACCGGTTGCCAGTGGTAGTGAGAAAAATAACCGCTCAATGATTTTACTTACTTGTCGTCTAAATATCTTGCCACTGCGCAGCAAATGTGCGCCAGTTGTAGTCCGTGCAAGGTTTTGTACAAATACAAAAGTTGCTGGACAAAGACTTGCGCAGTTTGTAAGGCGTGATGAAGTGTAGGGGACTTATTAACTGAAATAAATATTAAAAATAAATTAAATAGGACTGTAATCATCAAACACTGTATAAGTGTTAAATATATATCGATTATGAACTGGCAACCGGTACTATCTAAATTTTGACAACTTTACATTGTCATTTATATAGCATCTGATTTATTAAATAAAAATACGTAGTTTTTAAATATTTTTATTACACATACACTACGTATTTTTATTTAATAAACCAGATAATAATAATAATAATAATAACGCTCACAATCAACATAGCCCCGCACTAGGGAAACCCTGTGTCGCTGGTGCCATGGACACACACATAGGACAACCACAAATTACACCCAAACTCACGAGAAAAATAAATGTAGGCCATACAAACATTTCTCCCGGCCCGGGAATCGAACCTGGGACCTCTGTGTGGCAGTCCGGCATGGTAACCGTTCGGCCACAGAGGCAGTTAAGATGGTATATAAGTGACGCAAACAATTTTTTTCTTCACCTGTAAAGTCAATGTAAAGTTGTCAAAAGATAGAACCGGTTGCCAGTTCACAGCCGATATATAGAAAATCATACGATATTAAGTACTAATATATCATTAGCTATGAGTGACGAAAAGGACGAAGCCACAGCGTAGTATCTTTCAGTCTGTTTTTCAGTCTCCGCTTGTGTTCTCTGTCATACAAAGTCAAATGAACGAATTACACTTGAAATCATCATATTGTTTAAACTCTGCCGAAATATTGATTTTATTGAAATGTCCATGATTTTTTTATAATACCAAGTGAGTGGACGAACAAGTCGTACACCTGGTGATAAGCGACACTCCTATCCATAACAACTGCAGTCCCACAATGCCAATTCAATAGCAGTAGAACCGCTTGTAGAAGAGTCATGGTTTATGGTTTAAGACATTTATTTCTCAAAACAGAATACAAACATTCACTTACAATGAGAAATACTAGATAAATAACCTTATAATAACGAACGAGCATCGGAATCGTTACATATACATATGCAGGGTGTCCCAAAACTCAACGTCAAGCGGGCACCCCTTGATTTTTTTTACTGGGGCTGCATAAAGGAAAAAGTATATGCAAAATCCATATTGTAGAAGCAGCAGAAGAAATTAATTTGAGAAGATTCGCACGATTGGAAAAAAGATCTTTTTTGCGGCGATGCAGAGCCTGTATTCGTGCCGAAGGCAAACAATTTGAGCAATTACTTTAACATTAAATTATTACAAAAATTTCTTTCTGTTCATTTTGATTAAAATTTATTATAATACAACAATCGACTAATTATTAAGTTGACTCACTCACACCTGTGTTAGGGTAGATTATTTTGTTCAATGCGTTGTCACTATCTAACTCACTCTATCATATGTGATATGTCACCATGTCACTTCCACGACGATAAAGCCAATCTTCGAGTACACAAAAGCATTATTTATCATGGTATATTTTTTTTTGAAACGAGATCCTTTTGCAAAAAATAAGTTGTAACATTTTTTATGGAATGAAAAGTGGCAAGTACTGTACTATTTTGAAATCATTAAATGGGCCATCTTTTCAAATAACTTGCCCAGAGTTGCGTAGTACATTTTTTTTTAATATGAATATCAAAGCTAGCTGACATAATTTTTTTAAGCTAGTACTCAATGAAACTTAATTTTTTTTTACTAAACTCATAACCTTTACTGTTTGATTTGTGACTGCAATAAATAGTATGGTTATTTAGGATGACGTTGAAAAAAAACTGTAAAATTTGAAAATTTGTGATGACAGTACCTAAACATATGGTCTAGGGTATCGATTTTCAACGTTTTCAAAAATATGCCTATTATCACTTAACTAAGTGACATGGATTTTTTTATTTTATTTTTACCAGGACTGATATAACCTGCCCTCTCGCCCAGGGCCCGCACGAATTTTTAGCCGTAGATCTATGAGATCTATGAGAAATCTATGATATTTCGTCACCCAGTCGCAATTCATTGTATTTAATTTTTTATTGAATTGATATTCAATTATTTTTATGTAAAATTACTCCACTAGTTTGTTATTTATTATTTAGTAATTTTTATTTGTTTGCTCTCACCAGTCTCCAAGTTCTTGACCACATCAGTCCATAGGTCCACGGCGGTTATGGCGTACTTAATGGCGTCATGTTCTTGCTTGATAGTGCGGTTTGTTTCTGCTAAGTCGGGATCTATGTTCTACAAACAATAATAAGAATTAAACTTAATTTATAATTTTA